GGGGGGGAGGGGGGGAGTAAGAAGAAATCACTTGACAGTTTCCCTTACACTAATCCTTTCAGTACCCAAAGAGAAATAAGCATTCTACTTAAGAGGATTTATTAAAAACAAACAAACAAACCCTAAAAAAAGGTTTCTGAAAAACAGTTCTACAAAACCTGTCTAAAGATCCCTGCTCTGGGGACCTTTCCAAAAAAACTGGCCGGATTTTCAAAGCTGTTCATCATTTCTCTCAAGTGTTTTTAAATAACATCTATTAAAACTAAACGTCTCATATCCTGGCATAAATTTAGAAAACAGAACATTATGTTCACATAGTCACTGCTACCAAGGTACCTAGGGAAGGAGTTGGCCACCCACCTTCTACTGCTTTTGAAACTCACAGCCTCAGTGAATGATGCATCACACTCCAGAAGGATGCACAGATCACAAACAATACAGGTTTCATAAACAGAGGTCTGACCTCACAAACAATATTTCTGAAAATGAAACTGGCAAGACTTAGCTCATATGGCAAGCATCTTCTAAGGTGATATTATGATTGCCATGATGCGCAACTCTTAAATTCATAAACAGGTACAGTACCTGGAGAAGACTTTCTATGGCATGAAAGCCACGAATTAAATTCAAAGCCCCACATAACAGGCTAAGCACAAATGAGACAATCCCTGGCAGAGTCACAGGTTCCAGACGCTGATGAGGAGCTGCAAAGCAGAAAATCAAAAAAAAAATATCAAAGGTCAAAGCAATGTCTTTAGAAATTTAGTAAAATAGTAATCTCATTTTTCAGTGGCTTCTAGCTCATGAAAAGCTTACTGAAACAAACAACAAAATGTCTTTTTTTTTCTAAAAAGAAGAAACATTTTAAATATTTCAACAAAAGGTTTAACAAAAAGTATACTTTCCTTCAATTCACATATATAATTGTCTTATTATAGTTAGTCTTTAACTCAATACATTCAGTTTATTCAGTATAGTACTGAAAGCTGCTTTAACATGCCAGGAAATCAATGGCAAATGATGCACTTGCTAGTGAAATTTGTCCACAATTAGTACTCAGCTAATAAGTCACGTACTTAAGAGCTCCTCTCACAACCTTCACTCTTCTTTAACACTACTGCATTAGCAGAGCTATTGAGACTGATTTAGCTTGTTTGCTGAATGGAACAGTACAAGGCAAAGCTATTACAGCCCCTACCTTAAAAAATACAGCCAGTGAGTGCTACCAAAGACACAAATAAAAAGACAGTTCTGAAACTAAGCTAGTATCTGTATTACAACCTTATACAGACCTTCCAGATAGTGCTTAGAAGTCTCTTTCAAAACACTTTAAAATTAAAACACACTCTCTTCCCATGCACACCCACTCTTTCAGGCTTATCTAGGGTCACAAGTACGTAACAGTTGTGTATGTTCCTCATTACTGTCCCTTTTCATAATTAATAACAGAAAGCAAATACGAAAAAACAATGCAAATCTCTTAACAGTCTACGCAACACTGGGAAAACAATAGGACTACTGAGCCATACTTAAATCTTTCTACTCAAATCAATGAAGTGTAAAGATGTGAACAATGAGGTTAATGAACTGTAACATTAATAGAGAGAGGGGTGTCAATCCCAGTTGTTTGCATTGCACAGACCCAGGAAAAAGGCTTTCCAAACAGTTTATGAAGTTACAGAACCTAAAGAAAAAATGACAAAAGCTATTTCACATTGATAAGCGGACAGGGCTGTCTAATTATGATGACAACTTAAAAAAAAAAACCCACAAAATGAGTACAAGTTAACTCATTTGTGCTGAATTTAATAGTGTAGTAAGTTGGGTTTTTTAAATAAAAGCATAACTCATGTTTAACTTTCAGAACTTCTGCTTTTCTAACTGTAGTGCATATTAGAGGAATACTACCAGCAATCACTTAATTAAGGTTAGATACGCCATTTGCGTACTAAACCATTCTTTTTCAGTGACTCGCAACTGGTTCTTTTGGTTTGTTTGGTTTTTTTTAAAAACCATCTCATCTAGGGAGTGGCAAAAAGCTGAAGGAGTATGTGACTGTTTTTAGCCAAAAGTAATTGCATTTCATTAACTCGTAAACAGAATTAGTTCACTGGTCTCAATGAGCAGCTCTCCAGACAACCTTATTTTGCCCAAGTATCAGGGTAACTTTAAAACATCACGTGTTAAAACAGTATTTAAAACACCCCTTTTATGAGAACCATGGGGTGAGAAGCAAAGAGTCTTGTCAGCTAAATCAAGACAGTCTATGAAGGATCATAAAATAGTAACTTGTCTCTCATATTAAAATTTGAAAACAAATTCAAAAACTTTGAAGGACATTGCATACTGCTACTCATGTCATTAAGCTCTCCAGACCTTAATAAATTTTAGTGTTACAATCAAACCAACAAGAGTAATTTAAACACAAAAAAAATAAAGGCAAAACCAGACCAATGAAGGCGGAGTTCCAGAGAAGGAAGGGTAAAGGACAGCTGACCTTGAGTCAGTACCTCCATAAATCTTAAAAATATGGTAACTGCCATATCAAAAACTCTCTAATACATGCCAAGGATCAAATAAAGCACAAATTCTGAATTAAAATGCTGACATTTAAATAAAAATTTCAGAAATTTACATGATGTGAGAAAGTGCAGTACTTGTAAGGACATTTATTTAAAAATGAAATGTAAAAAAAAAAAAAATGAGTATACTATTAAGCAAAAAAGTAACTTTGATTTGACAAGTGTTACTTCATTGAAAAAAAAGCTCGGAAAATCGTAAATTTATCCTAATTTCAAATATCACACACCAGCATGCTGTCACCCTGTTTCTAACGCCTGCCAACACCTACATTCACCTTTGAAGCAAAATTCTATCCATAACCTGCACACTTTACACTTCACACCTTAATAATTATCCCTACTCCTCACTACACAGCACAACTTTCACTAAAGAAAAAGAGCTGCTATTTTCAATTACTTTAACAGTATAAGAGGCCTAAACACTAGACCTGGATACAGATCTAAGTACAAGTGTAAGCAAGTGACAGACAATGCTTCATCAGCATAGCCAAAACTAACGCATCAAATTCTGCTATTCTGTGTAACAAAACAAGATTTGCGTCTACCTAACTTCCTGCTTCTGCACGCTATCCAACTTGATTTAACATACTTAATTCACTTATAGCATGCCATATTTTTAACAGGGCAGCATATTCAGGAAATTACACTAGGCAAACCATATCTTGTGGAGAGAATTTGTCCTTACAGCAAAGCAGAAACTTTGAAGTCTGGCCAACTGAGTGGGTAGCAAACATCCAGAGAAAGTCCTTTTCAAGGGTGGGAAGAAGTGATGAATGTAAAGAATTATAAAACTATTAGCAGACTTGCTAAAAAAGACACTGTTATTCAGTATCATCTCAAATTTGAAGAGCTGAAGAAGGAGCAAAGTGCAAACCTCTCATAATGTACAGCCCTTTGATGGCAAGTTCCTACAGCAATTCAAGGAAGGAAGTGGATAACTGAACAGAGAGATGTATGGAATTCAGAGGAAGAAGAAAGTTAAAAGTAACTGAAATAGTGGGGGGCGGGGGGAACCAGAAGAAAGTTGTCATGGAGAAAAGAGGACAATCAGAACTGCTTGCGTAAGACAAGTGGTGGAGAGCTAGGTGACAAAAACCTGGAACATCATCTGCCTATTATTGTTTAATTTTACTTTATAGTAAAAAGGGAAATGGTCCTTACAGATTTAAATTTTGGGACAAATGATCTTCCAACACTTTTACTCAGAAAAATTATAAAAACCTTATCTCCCACTACATGCACAACTTTAAAAATATAGACAATTTTGACACGGGCTGAACTCTCTCATGCTTATTGTTTTTTTCTTTTTCCAATTGCAGGAAGTTTGAATCTAGACAATTTTCAGAGTTAGCCAGTTGCCACTTCTGCCACCACCACCTTTTCCACAAGCCAGGATTACACTAGAACATTAAGAGGTAGCGATGTAAGCATCAGAAGTGGCAAAAGAATGGTTTCACAGCATTACACATCTTTAAAAATGGCCCACACATACAAGCTGTAGATGTTAAAGGTATGTACAGCGCTGCTTAAAAGATTCCACTCTTCTAAACAATTTAAACATCTTCACCCTTTGTCTTTATTAATTTTCCAGAATCTATCTCTAATACTGTTAAATTGCAAATTCAGAGATTGTAAGCTATTTCTACATTGTCTCATAGCACCTAGAATTCTCAGGATCAAGGCCCCAGCAATCCGAATAGGGCACTCTAACAATTCTGTTTGGTTTTCATCTTCAGTAGAAAGCAGTTGTCAATCTTCTCGAGGAGTCCTTACGAGGAAGTAAAGTAATTAGGACAATACACCAGCAAAGAGATCCTATTAATATATACATAAACTGCACAAAATTAAACTGATCTCTTATATTACAGAACTGAAGGAAGTGTTTAGATTTATGACTGCAATTTTCACCCTGACACTGTAAAGTGAATGGCATCGGTGTATGTCTGCCCAGGATAACAAGCCTTACAGACAGAGGTACTTTTGGAAAAAAAGGGAAAGATATTAACTAATTAAAATCAATCAACACTTCCTTTTATTCTATTTATGATTTCACTTCACTAAACTTGGAAGCCTTTAAACCAGTTCAATCACACAATTCCGTATTTACCTCCTACACGAAATTAATTAAAGTTTTAAAAAATGAATGACTACTTAAATTAATGCAACAAGTATATAGAAAATTGCTATTATTAACACTGTACACAAGGCACTTATATTGGAGAGTACATCTTTTAGCCAGCACAGCTCTTTGGATTTTCACTGCCACAGATGCTTCCTAAAGTGATGGTTCTCCCTCCAGCTGCTTGAACTCCTGACACTATGCTCTTAGCTTATGTTGTCATTGGGACTTACTGGGCAGAAATAATTAAAAAATTCATAAATCTTAAAAGGTCAGAAAAAGAAAAAAGATCATCTCGTTAAGTGCTCATCTTCATTTGCTTATTTTCATGTAGATTTTTTTTTTCCTTCAATAAAGAGGTCCTTTGAATAGATCCATTTCTTTCTCTGAGTGCCTTGAGAAGATATGCACTTTGAGCAGCGGACAACACAGACATCTAAGCTAAAACCCATGTAAGGTCATGGCAGCTTTATGCTTTAAGAATATCAAAGTGAAAAAGCTTTCTTTAAAGAAAAAAACATTAAAAGAAAGATTAATTCTACTACCCTGCATATGTCTCATTTAAGGATACAAAACCAAAACTCTGAAACTTACCTGCAGATATCTTACCAGTACCCTTATACTCTGCCATCGATAAATGTGCGAACCCATTAGCTGAACCAAGTTCTGACACGGAAATTTGATAAGGCGGTCTCAGCTTGATTTCTGTCTGCATGTCAGCAAGATTCATCTTTGTTGACAAAGAACGTGTGTTGTTATATCTCTGTTTGGTCCTCTGAATGAAATTATCTGTGTCAAATTTAAAATAAAAAGGTATATCATTATGGACTTCCGTTAATTAAATAATCCAACACCATGCAGCTTTATGTACTACGTACTTCACAAATTGAAATACATTGTTCAAAATGCTTGAATTTACATTGGAACGTCTAATGCTATTTCTGTTTTGTGACTAATATATCATGGGCCTATTTAATTCTGCAGTAAAAAAAATTAAGCTCTAGAAATCTAATTACTTAATAACTGTGTATAAACTAATGACTTTTCACTGCATGAGACTAAATGCATTGCTAATACAATAGATTGACTGCACTTATTACAGCTTTTCCATCAGTTTAGTAAATATCCTTATGAAAAAATTAACTCCTGCATTCAGGTATAAACTTACTTGAGTATGAAACATGCCTGCAAAATATTCAGGCGGAGGAAATTAATACCAGATTATACTGATATAAAGACTGTAACAGACCTATGTTCTAACTGAACAACTAGTAAAACAGAGAATGCGTTGGGAAAAAAAAAAAAAGAGTGTTCATAGAAATCTTTGTAAGGAAGACAACAATGTTGTACAAAAATTGTCTAAAATTGCCTGACTGAATTACAGACAGGCATTAACCAACTGGAATATCTTCCCCCACATTTCTGAAACTGCAGTTCTTTTATAAAATGCAATGCATTTTATAAGAATATTTAAAATAACTGCCTAACATACAGTACTAAAGCGACAGATATTAATGGAATCCATAACAGCTGTTATCTGGTGTATATGAGATTAGTTGTATTTGGAGCTTGCATGACAGAAGATTAACTGCCTCACTATATCATAAGACAAACAAAAATCTCTCCCTTTCACTGAACAAAATTACAGCACAGCTAAGAGCAAACATGAAATTGCGATTTTTTACTAGAGAAATTTATGAAGCTCAATGCCTTTACATGTTTACATGTTAAGTATTTCAACAGGTATGAAGTCAAACCACTCCTAGTATTATTAACTAGGAAAAGATTAATTCCAGATTTGGACACACAAGGCTTAAACCAAAACCTACTGGAATGAACAGAAAGATCATAAACAAGTTTGGGTAAAACTGTAGTAGACTAATTTAATGCCCACAGAAGTATTTCTTTATTGACTGTAACGGGAGTTATCCACCTGAAATACAGCTATAAACTCTCTTGGACATTTTTGTTTCATGTGCGTTAAGTTGCACATCTATTTAAATACTCATTTGTCTTAGTGTAAGAATGAAGGAAACAAAAAGTCAGATCCTTACCAAATTCTATAAAACAGTACGGTCTGATAGCAGTATTTGTCTTCATCATATTGTAGGTAGTGATGAACTCTTTCTGAAGCTCATCCAGGAAGCAGAAAGCCAGCACATTGGGATAATTTTCAGTGCACAACATCATATAGCTCACTCCCAGAGAACTGATAAAGCTGTAATTGAGATAACAAATTAAAAATTTCAAATTTAAATACAGGTAATTCGCTGCTTCCCTAGTCTGGTCTCATAATCAGAAAAGCAAAAACTGCTCTGGGGTAGCAAAGGAATTAATGGTTACAGAAAAGTCCAATGCTTAGAATTCTAGAATGAAGAACAACAATTTTCTTTTAGGCAATGTTTTACTTTAACATGGCATTGTACCATCATATAAGAAGCTGTGTTATACATATATGCGTAAGTATATACATGTGTGTGTATATCTGTATACATATGTACACACTCCCACATACATGGAACAGAAAATAACATAAAGCTTTTGGGATAGAGAAACACAGCAAGTTTGTCCCATAGTAGCTTTTCATTCATCTCAAATGCAGAATATGTGATCTAATGCATCCCATATATGCAAAAAACGTATCAGGGGTGGGGGGGAGGCAGCTGGTTCTTTCTAAAATCCGTGAGGAAATAAAACCGTTCAGTAGAATAAGGGATTCATCATTCTCCAAAGACAGTTGCAAGGATGACTACAGATGGCAAATATGTAATTAGAGAGGGCCAGTTTTCAATACACACATCCCTATTGTTTTTAGGCAATTCATTAAATAAGAGTTCACGTTTTCATGTCACATCCAAATTTCTTCAAAATCTTGATGGATAACTTACGCTATTAAAAATAATCAAAGACAAAAGTAATAAAATGTCATGACTAAGCCTTATGTCTGATTTCTTAAAAAGTTTCTTTTAAGCTGCTCAGTTTGTAAGACAACTACAGCTGAGGTTTTTAAAAAAAAAAAAAAAAACACCAAAAAACCAATGAAAAAAAATTAGTCCATGCTGTGCCTAACCCTGAGAAATGCTGGAAACTCACTACCAATGGGAGATGGAGAAGGCTGAGCACTTCCTAGGATCATTCAGGTGGCATGCTTTCCACCTCTGCAACTTCTACATGTTTGCTAGGGGTTAGGATGAAATTACTCATCTCATTTAAAATAGCATATCTAAATTAGAATCAGAATTTAGCTCAGCTAAAGTGCAACTGAATTACCAACTACACAGAGGTGCACCTAGTTATCAACACTAAGGAGAAAGGTCACATATAAAGCAAAATTCTGAGTAACCAACAGATTCAAAGAATTATTTCATGATAATCCAGGTTTCATGCTGCAAACAGAGGAAAAAAAGAGCGTCTCCTGACTTATTATGTAATCAGGGTTGTCATGCAGGTACATTATCAAATTGACTAGCTCAAAAAATTTAGGAATAGTTATTAAAAAAAGTCAAAACACAAAAGCGTGAAGAGAAAACAAAAAGCATTGTTGTGAAAGCGCTGGATGGAGCAGTAGATAAAACTCCATTCAAGCATTCAAGACTTTACTACACACTGCCTTCACACTAGAAAAATCATTTCCACCCTTCCCACTCCCTCACTCCCCGCGTGCCATATGAAATAATTATTGAGTTATGCTTGGTTTTTAGGGCATGTTTTCTCTGAAGTCAACCGAAATCCTGAAAGTACAAGAAAAGGGCTTAATTTGATAACATCCTAACCACAAGTTTTCACAAATACTGGGTTAGGGAGGTATATGGGTACTTTTTAAAATTTGTATACACTAAAAAGAGAATACAAATGAATACTAGTTGAACTAGCATGAGGAAGAACAAGTCTGGTCATTTTCATGTAAGAAACAACCTTGAAATTTAAAGAAATATTTCTAGTAGGCCAAGGACTTTGATATTTATAAAAATACTGTCTATTTCAAACTAGAACTTACACCAAAGCTTGGGTAGGTTTCAAACCTTTCTACAATTTCTCAGTTGTAAATTTCTGATACATAAAGATTGCCAAGAATTAATCTTAGTTTGATTAATCATTTCTAATGTGAACTGTTAACTTCTTAACTTACAGACAGACAAAACCCAGGATGTCACAATTATATGAAACAGAAGTCTTACTTTATGTTATACTGCCCAGTTTTCAGAGTACATCTATCAGGAAGCTGAGAAAGTTTCTTTGAGAGCATTTTGAAATATTTTCTACATTCTTGCATTCCTGTGCTCTGGTCATAATCAGTAGATGCAGACAATGGGAGTCCATCCCTCACACGGACCACAGAGGCAGATAGAATCATAGACATTGCCAACAGAGTTAATGACAACCTACAACAAAACACAAATCAGGAGGAATCAGAATTAAGGTAGAAGCAAAAACAACAGAGTCAACTGTGATTAATCAAACTTCCCAGGCTGCATAGTGGGTTCAGTTTTAAAATGGGGCACAGGGGGGATTTTCAACTATAACCCAGATTAGAGTCCTAACTGAACAGGACCTATTAGTCTACGCAAACCACAAAGCAGCAGCACATCTGACATCAACATCATGATTTCAAATATTTTTATCTGAACTGCCATAAATCCTCACCTAGAGATACCTGCAGAGATTGAAACACTATATACATAGCTTTAGTACTACTGTAGCACTTGCACCCTTCAAGCTGTGAATCTTCTTGTTTAGTGAGACAATTATAGTCTAAACAAACAAGAACTATAGCTGGAGAGGAAAAACATGTACTGTAAAGATACGTCAGACGGAAAAGTGATGCAGGTCTTGATCAATCAACAATTATGTGCTTTCATGAAACTGTGTTACTGAGCACATGCTTAAGTAACCCTGACAAACAGAGACTTAGACAACTTACATACTATCAAATAAGGAAATCAAGGAATAAGGACAGCAAGGAATTTAATCCAGATCTCACAACAGAACTTCTTAAACGTGAAATGTCTTTTTTCTTATCTGAGTCTCCATTTTCTTTAAATCTTCAAAACGTGTCTATCAGTATTACACAAACACTAAGCAGGTTGAAACGGTGCTTGCAAAGCCTACATACTTATACAGTATTTAGTTTTCAAAGCATGACAACTAAAGCTTTGTGGAATACAGTCACTTAAAAAAAAAAAGTTGTGTATTTAAACATTTCTTCATCAAAAGCAGACAATCTATAGCAGTGATTTAACAGCATAAACACACAGCCTGCAGACAGTCTTTCAAGACTGAAGACACTTTTTAAAACCTTCAAGTTCTTCAAACCTTATGTTAAATCAAAACATCCAAAGTTTAGCAAGACAAGCACTAAAAGAAGGATTACTTATCTGCTAAGCATCAGTACACAAGTTTGTCCTCTTACAAGTGGGCGAACTGCTAGAATTTATATGAAGCCAAAAGCAAACACTTCCTCAACTCTTAACACTGCTCTGCAGACTCCTACCATATACTACACCTATCACTTAAGAGATTATGAAAAAAATAGATTTTTGCCTCCCTCAGACGATGCTACTCAAGTTCCATACAGTCACAAACTGCAAAAGAAAACAGATTTCTGGATACAGCTGAAATATGCTTTCATGTGCAATAGTGACATGTTTACAACACCTTTCAAACTATGACATTAAGGGTGCTTTACAAGCCTTAGCAACTGAAGGACTGTACTCTGAAGTTAGGAATCCAAATTCTCCCAAAATAGCCCTGCCTCCTCATAAAAGAGAGGAAATAGCTATTTTTCCCTGAACTCTCACCTCCCCTGTTTCCCACTACTTGATGCTATGTATACATCAGGATACTTAATGAATAATAATCAATATTCAGGTTTTTCAATTGTATGTACTCCTCAGAGAGAGAGGCATATAATAATGAAAACATTGAAAACGTGTTGTAATTTTCAATTTAAGAAATTCAGCTTCATCAGCAAACTTCAACCTGCTTTGAGATGCATCACATTAGCTAAATAAATTCCAAATTAATACTCTTCTAATTTTACTTCTATAGCATGTGAGACTTTCATGAAAGCTGTTACAGCAGCAGAAGCCACCATTGCCTGTAGTCTACCGAGTACCTCTGGGCTTTAATCAGGTACGCTTGTTATTTCAGCATTTCACTACAGAATTCCCTATTGTACAAAGTGCTTTGATCAGCTGGACACAAAAGCAGAAAACAAAACAACTTTAGGACTTGCTCTAGATTAGCTCGCTGGAGTGAAGCATTCTAGAAATTAAACCCCGTGATTCTAGAAATTTTTACCTGTCTATATTTCAGTTCATGCACATGCTCCCATGGAATGCACACAGCATCCATTTTCTTAACTATGCTGCTAACCATATAAATACAGCAGCAGCTCAAGAGCATGACAAAATTGCAGAGGAGCTTTAAATTGTAACGGTTCTCCGACAATAACCACCTCTACCGCGTTGAATTCAATCCTGAAAGGGACGTCTGGGAGCTATATCAATATAAACATAAGAACAATGATGTCATAGCAAAGTTTAAAATTCCCCTCATTAACTTACTTGCACAAAATGTAATTTCATGGATCTGCATTTCCTCTGATGAAGCAAATAACTTCATTAGCACCTAACGTGAAGAAAGGAACATAGCTCCATGTCCTGTTTTAGGAAAAGGTAGCGACTAGGACAGCACTGCAGGAGAAACTCAGAATCCTGTAGCCAGCTCTCAGAAGGAAAAATATTGTTCTGTTCACTTTTTAAATGATCTTGACGGTTAAAGTTCATGTTGAGCTATCTGATGAGATAAGAACAAACAGAAAAAGTTAATAAATGTATTTACTGCCTAATGATATTCTTCAGCTCCTCTTGTGAGGGCATGCTTATTGGAAAGGCCTGAATACACCCCAGCGAGAATACTCAGATGTACTCAAGTAAAAAGAAAACAAATAATAGAAGTATTAAAATGTTTCTATGTTCTTTAAGTGAAGTTGAGGAAGTGCCATCACTTTAGCCATTGAAAATGGGAAAGTATGTATCTGTATGTACCATACATGAATAACCCAGGGCAAAACAACCTTTGACTCTGAATTCCATCATTCACCTCATACACTAAGTTTAATTAATCTATGTCTTCTGACCAGAAACATGAACACTTCAGGAACATAATACAACACAAACCCAGCTGTATTTCCAAAGCATTAAAATTGTCAATATTCAATCTAACAATAGTTGCTTTACTCCTACAACTAAGAACAAAGAATCTAAATGTCACTAACAAAAGCATGTATGCACAGACAACAGACAAAGGATGAAGACCCTTTTAGAGGTATTCTTTCAATTTTTAAGTCTATTATATAAGTAAATAAATATTTCCATAAACCTAGAACTTCCTTCAAGACTCCTACTAATATTTAGATAAATTAGTCTAAGAGAAGATAAGCCTCTATTAAAACATGCCAGTTTTCTTTGCGTACTATGAAATTACACAAGGCAAAAATTGTGTTCAGATGTACAGTTTTAAGATCACCACTCAACCAGGTTTTGTTACCGTCATCTTAAAAACCCACCCAATGAAAAAACGTACTTTTTTCTTAGCATTCTAGCAGCGGAATCAAACAGCTATCTAAAAAAATGAGGCTAACAAAAGAAAATCACTTTGGTTGCAAGATCACACATACGTACAGAGATGTGCAATACATGTACTGTAACAAAACATTCAGCCTTACTTGAAAATGTATTAATACAGAAAGTTTACTAAATCTTCAAAATGAAAGAGCTACTTTACTCAGCTCTCAAAACAATAAGGCTCTACAGAAGGAGCCAAGTGGTAAATTTGACATAAACTTATATAGGTAGAGACTTACATAGGTAGAGACGATATAGTAGTGTTGTAGAACTATCTTTAAATGTCTTTTTTAAACATCTATTCAAAACTGTACAAAGTAATCACCATACCATTACAACTTTCATAGCTTTTCCTTCAAAAATTCTATATCAATCAAACACCTTAAGATGACATAAGACAAATGATCTATAACTCCATTATAGGTAGATAGAAATGAACAGGGATTGGGTTCGCTATCTCATTCTATGCAAGAACTGAGGAGTATCAAATCCAACCAGCAGGTGTTAGGCTCATGGGTACCATAGATGTTTCTTCACAAAACATGCAGTTAGCCAGTGGAGCTGCTTGTCACAGCGTGTTGTCAATGTTAACATGTTATGCGAATTCTTGAGGCAATTGGAAAAGTTGACAGAAAAATTACGAAGGTTATTAAAAGTAAAACACTACACTTTGTTCAGGGAGATTCTGACCCCCAAACGATGACCAACAGGGAGAGTACACCATGCAAGCATCACTCCGTGCTTGCGCTATTCTTACATTTCCCTATGTGCATCTGTTTCTGGCCCATCTTCATTGATTTCCCCTTGCACTTCACATGCACTTCCCCCCTGCAAATGAGGGCTGAGACAACTCATGAAAAAGAGGAATGTGGAGAAAGCTGACCACAGACAGATAAGAGTCAACTAGAACAGTCATTCCTCTGTTACTCCACTGTCCCTAATTTAATATATATATGTCAACCTCCACTACTTTCACAAAAAAGAATTACCATATATGGCTACAGTTTCATTTCCTCCCATGAGCAGAAAAACTCAAGATGATGGAAGCCAGAGCCTGTTTTGCTATATTTTTTTTTAAGACATATTCAGTTATCATCTCCTTTAGTTGTGTGTTATGATGGCACTTGGTCCTGAGGCAGCATCTAGAAAAGTACTAGAAAGTGATATATGTTCCAGTCTTCCTTTGTAATGAATTGGTCTTTGAATATGTGATCTGACAATCATTGTTTTATAACTACCGGGCATCTTTTCATAACTTTTTTTTTACAAATCAGTGTTTGAAAGTGATCTGTGAATATGGTTTTCTCAGGATACTTCAGTTTTTTAAAAACAGACCAGCTTCATAAAAACTGAGAGATTCTAAGTAGATCTAGTGTAACAGCAAGCCTACCCTCCTGCACGCGCTGGCCTTCAGCACCAACTTAATGAAAGCATTTCATGCCAGGATGTCTGCCTGTCATGATAACCTTCCATAAAATATAAAATTGGGAAGTAGATGCAAGCTGCATACCTGCTTGACACAGAAAAAATATACAGTTCCTGTGCTTACTTCAAGTGTTGGAAAATTTATTACCCCCACTTTTGAGGGCTGTGACAGCTGCATTATGCAGGCAGGAGTCTTAACTTTTCCACTCTACAGCATACTTTAGAAATCCGTATTACAGACTAGAGCAGTACAGAAGGACACAACAAACAAAGCCACTCTGACATCACCAGGTATGATCAGACAAGGAAATAATCCTAAACCACTAGCCCATATAATCCGTTCCATAAAGCAAAGGAAAAAGAGACCTTGGACATAGAATCAAGATTCTGAAAAACTAAGGGAATGAAGAAGCTGCATCGCAAAGTTTGGGAACTTGAGCCTTTCATCTACCACCTATTTATATGGCGGCTTTGACACGATCATTTGCACTATTTGCAACGGCAGTCAGCATAGGAAAAAGTAATGTAGTTACTGCCTTAAACAGGTTGGCACTGCTTTAGGTTGCAAAACTTTATACAAAACCGTTGATGCCTACACAGCCAGGCAGGAGAGTCCCTGGCAGATCCCTGCTACAACACGCTGCTGCTGCGAAACGACACTGACCAGGAGGCCTGAGGTGCCACCCACGGCCTCCCGCGCCGGCTGCCAGCAAGCAAACCTCGAGTGACAGGGCAGGAGGCGGTCGGTGCCGGGGGAAGCGCCAGGGCCCCTCGCTCACCCCGGCTGATCAGCAAACGCAGCCCACCCCGTGAGCCCACCCTCCGCCCCGGAAGGCGGAGAAACCGGTAACAAGCCGCTCTGCGGTGCCCCGGCAGCCCCCCCAGCCCCCGACCACAAGGAGAAGGCAGGTGGCAACCGAGATCCCGGGCGGGCGGGCGGACACAGGGCCCTGCGGCAGCACCTTCCAGCACC